GCAGAGAGAGAGGGAGACACAGAATCGGAAACAGGCTCCAGGCTCCGAGCCATCAGCCCAGAGCCCGACGCGGGGCTCAAACCCACGGACCGCGAGATCGTGACCTGGCTGAAGTCGGACGCTTAACCGACTGCGCCACCCAGGCGCCCCTGATTCTCTCTTAAAAATAAACATTAAAAAAAAAAAAGTTCCCATGATGGATATTTGTCAACACTATCTTTGAGCACCTAACTCCACAGGATAAAACGTTTGTTGAATAAGAAAGTTACCCTTTTCTGCACTGTTTGGAGAAGGTGAAATTTTGTTTAAAAAGTGGTTACATCTCGGGGCACCTGGTGGCTCAGTTAAGCCTCCAAATTCAGCTCAGGTCATGATCTCACAGTGTATGAGTTGAAGCCCTGTGTCAGGCTCTCTGTGCTGACAGGTCAGAGCTTCGAGCCTGCTTCAGATTCTTCGTCTTCCTCTCTCTGCCCCTCCTCTAATCATACTCTCTCAAAAATAAACATTAAAAAAATGAATTTTTAAGTGGTTAAGTCTCTTTTCTAAATAGGTGAAATGATTCCATACATAAACTTTTTCTTTGTGGCATTAACCATGGTCTTAATCTGAAACTTTTCCATAATAATATTTCTTTCCTGGTAATCTAACGGCTTGAAAATGTGTCCTTCCCTCAACTCTTTATTCTTGGAGGATCACCCTGAAAAAGTTACCTAATTTGGTCTTCTTTATCTGATAGGCTTCAAAGAGAACCTGGAGTTCCTGGTATTTCTGGGTCAAACGTGCTTTCAGGGCGTCCAGCTGAGGCTGGTACAGAAGGTTTCCTTCTGCCAGGCTCCGGTTGCTGGCGAGCGTCATTTCTTTGTTAAGCTGAACATTCTGCGTCTGCAAGGAACACAGGATGGTGAGAAGCAAGTATTAGTTCCCGGACCAGTCCCCCGAGGTTCCTGTGCCCCACCCTCAGCAGCCACCACATCTGCTTCCGTCTGGCTGGTCACCAGGCTGGGACCACATGCGGGGCCGCTCCCAGCCCAGACTCCAGCCCCTCTGGGTTTCTAGTTTGGACACAGCTCCCTGTTCTTAAAGAGCAAAGCCACTTCCTTTCCAACGATTTGCAGACAGGCTTTGTCTTGTGACTTGTCAAGGCCTTTTGCTTCAATAGCCGTGCTGTGACTGGAATCCCTTACTGCCGCCATTGTGCTTCCACGAATAAACAGCTGTAAAGATTTAGGGCTAGATTTGTTCAAAACCTGTTTCTGCTGCTCCAGCGGAAGTTAAAGAATCACTTTTAACAGAGGAGGACCAGCTGGCATGGGGTCAATTCAGGCTCAGTCGTCAGGCTTAGGGATCAAACACGAAAGCCCGACACCCCCTGGGAAAGAATTCTGTTTGCCATGACCCTGTTCTCTCTCCCACGCCCACCTCCTGCTCCTCCTCGACTGAGGGGAAGGCCAGAGTCCTCCCAGCCCCCAGCTCCAGACCCAAAGCTGGGCCAAGGCGCCATCTGGGAGGTAGCGAAGCCCACGTGCCCAGACCCCAGGGCTGATGAGGAGATGGAAGGCCTGAGGATAAAGAGCTCCCAGGAAGACTTAGCAAAGCCACGTTATTTAAAGGAAACCCCCAAACCCACACCCATGGGGCACCACTGGGACTGGCAAGTGACACGCCTCGGCCGCCGCCACCTGCCCACAGCAACCTGTCTGGAGCTAGAGTTCCCGCAGGGCAGAGTCCTTCCCCATCGAGCCGCGTTTTTGTTTTCTCGCAGCTCTGCTGAGACACGACTCCACTTGTCTCGTTTTCCCCTTGATATTTGCTGCTACCCCACCCAGGCTATTTTCGCCACACTTCTGCACTTCCTTCCTGTTGAGAGTCTGGGTGCAGATTTCCCACTGGGCTGCCTCCGTCCTGGCCACGCCCAGCCAAGGCGCCAGTCCAGCTCAGCGAGGCACGTGCACCCCCCTCCGTGAAGGTGAAGGTGAAGGTGACAGGAGAGAACACAGCGGCAGCCCTGGACCCGGGCCGGGGGGCTCCCTACAGCAGACACAGAATCCGGATCTCCCGCACCCAGGAGCTGCGCCCAGGGGCCCTAAAGATTCCTCTCAGCTTAAAATGGAATTTAAATTAAGATAGAAAATTGAGCCTCTAGCTCAACACTACAAAAATCAGTGCAGCACCAATACTCTCATCTCTTGCTGCTGGAGAGTTTGGGGCCCTGGTGTAAACGGGGTTCCGGAAGGGCCGCCACCTCCCGCCACGCAGCAGCTCCCTGCCCTGTGCAGTTGTATCCCGATCCTGTAGAAGAGTCTTTCCTTCGATTGTTAAGCCACTGGAAAGAACAAGCACACACAAACCACTGTATGGCCACTCTGGAAAAGAGCTCAGCAATTTCTTTTAAAACTAAACATGCAACGACGACACGACCCAGAAACTGTACTCCTGGGCATTCGCCCCGGGAAAATGAAAACACGTTCACACAAAGCCCGCACGTGAACGTTCAAAATGGCTTTATCTGGAACAGCCGAGGACCCAAGGCAACGCAGCTGTCGCTCCGCGGTGGGTGGCTGCACAAAGCGCACAGCGTCCAGGCCACAGAACATTCAGCCTTAACAAGGACAAAGCCTGACACGCGTGGCAACTTGGATGAGGCTCCAGGGAATCACGCTGAGCCCAAAGGGTCGGACACTCTAGGATTCGGGGTATACGTCACTTTCGAAACGCCAGAGTCACAGAGACGGAGACAGGTGAGTGGCTGGGGATGGCCGTGGGAAGGGGGCTCATGGGGATGGGTGCTCCCACTGGGGGGAGTGGGTGAGGGACACAGAGGATCTCTGTTCCTTCTGACAACCGCTTGTGAATCTACAGTTACCTCAAGATTCAATGTTTAGTTGTAAGGCAACAAACTGCTGGGGAGTTTCTTTACACCCCACCCCCCAACCCATCTCATCTGCCAGCTGAGAACCGGCAGGTGTTCAAGGCCATGGTCAGGGACCTCTGGCTCCCTGCCCGCTGGCCATCATTCTGACTCAGTCTTAATTCTTTGTTCAATAAACATTTACTGAGCAACTATTATCTGCCGGGCCCAGAGTTAGGTCTGGAGAACGGAGACGAGAGGAGCACTTGTCTCGTCACGTAAACCCAGGTGACGTAAATGGAACAGAATGGAGCATGCCCTGACTACGGTGGGGGGCCTGGTCCCCCCACCTGTCTTCCCGGGCAGTTCCAAGAGCACCCCCAGCCCTTCCTTCCACCACCTCTGGAGCTCAGGTCTGCTTTTCCCACCGGCTCCTCACGGGGAGGCCGGGTCGGCGCTACGTCCTCAGTCACAGCACCCATCTCTTCCCTGCCACAAGCTGCAGTCAGCAAGTATCGCTTCCCTGTTCACAGCCTCCCCCACTGGAATACTAACACAGAAGGGACCCTGTCGTCTCTAGCGTGCCAAGCACCTAGCACACGTGGGCCACCAGTCCGAGGCTGCTGACGGCACCAGAGATCCTTCCCACCCCCCAAAAGCCAGTCTCTTGAGGCCAGGCCCAGCCAATAAGATGGGTAACAAAACATGGAGGGGATTAAAAAAAAAAAAAAAAAAAAAAAAAAAAAAAAAAAAAAAAAAAAAAAAGCTGTGTACATCAAGCAACAAATGCCCCACATCCTTCTTGGAGACAGGCTCCCTCGATGAAGTCCTTTGAGACAGCATCTGTGGGGGTCTCACGCCAGATCGGAGGCTTATGCCGAAGCAGGATTTCCGTCCTCACCCAAGGCACCGCTGTGGGCACAGGTCTGCAAAGGGACCCCTGGAAAGGCACTGGCGTCCAATGAGGCACGTAATTCTAGCGTGCCGTTGAAGGATCATGACTTCGGCCGGACCTGACAGTCCCGAGGGAGGGGGTGTTGATGTGTACAGTGCCCAGACCAATTCTGGACCAGCCAAATCCTCCAGGAGGGGCCCGGGCGTGTTTTCCCAAGCTCTCCGGGGGTTCCAGCATACAGCTAAGTGCCACCGTTTCCATCTCAGCGTAAAGCAGATCTAAAGAAATCTTACTCTCCTAGGGTCTAAATCAGGTAGAAATCACTTCTCCTGCATGTTAGAAAGTCCCAGAAGAGAGCAGCACAGGCTATAATCCAAAGGTGGCTTGCACGGGATGCATACGGGCAAAGTTTAAGCTACCAGCCACCGAAAGAGCCAACTAAAGCTGGGACGGCGACTGACAGCCATCAAAAACGGCTTGTGATTTTGTATATCCTTTGGGGATTCAGCTGTTTTTACATCAGGAAGTACTGGTAAGTTCTAAGTGGCCACCCAGGGCACACCTACAGCACTCTCCAGTGGACAGTGGTGGTGGGGACAACGGCCTGGATTCCAACACTTCTGTGCCTCCCGGAACACACCTCTGATGCTGCATTAGATGCCGAAAAAGACGCTTTCCTCCTTGATATTCCTTTCCACTGCGCCAACTGAAAACGGGAGGGGAAATGGCCAGTCCTGTTCCATCATTTGCAAAGCAGAGGAGAACAGGGAGAGCTGGCCAGAACAGGCCCAGGGGCCCTCCCCATGAGGACGTGCACACCACGCTTAGCAGGCCCAAGTGGCAGTCACTCTGGACGACACATGGCCCAGCTCTCCAGGTCCCGTAAGACTGACTCCAGCCTCAGTGCCTGTGGCTAAATCTGAACCGGAACTCGGAGAATGCTCGCAGGGGCCTAGACACCTGAAACTGAAAACACTACTGCCGACCTCTTGATGGTTCTCACGATCCTTTTTCTTAACCATAGAGAGATCTTTTCAGGAAATAATCGGTCTGCGGTAAGGGAACATTTTTAAGTACGTACTCAGTGTTACTTCAGTTTCTTTTTCTGCTCATAATCCACGAGAGGTGAGATGCAGGATTGGAGCATTTAGAGCAGGACCCCATTTATACAGCTCTTTCTGCCCATCTGTCTACCCAAGAGCCGCCTGAAAGGATGTTCACCCTAAATTGACAACAGCAACCTGCGAATGTTTTTAACTTTCCTCTTTCTACTTGGACATAGTGCTTGATTTACTACAAGCATATATAAGTTTACAAAAAAGGGTTAATTTAATACAGCCTGTTAGATATTAGAACTGGAAGAGCAGAGGCTCTAGAAAATTAAGCTGTTTCAAGACTAGGGGAAGGGGATTAGGAGATACAAACTTCCAGTTGTAAAATAAGTCAGTCACGGAGATGAGAAATACAGCATAGGGAACAGAGTCAACAATATCGTAACAACGTGGTGTGGGGACAGACGGGGACTATGCTAATCGTATAGATTATTCACTGGCCATCACAAGTGTCAAATCACTACATGGCACACCAGAAACTAACATGACATGATGTGTCAGCTATACTTCAATAATAAAAAATTTTTAAAAAGGACCATCAACCCCACACACGCGCGCGCGCGCGCACAAAGAAAACAAGGTATTTTATACATGCTTTGTTCAGGAAGAAATGTAAAGACCCCTTTATCTTTTTTTTTTTTTA